CTCATTTGATCCTCACAACTACCTTGTAAGACAGATGCTCCTTACTGCTCCTTAACAGATTCTATGCCCTTCTTAATTCAGGCTAAGTTGGCATTAGATTTTTTTGGCCTCCATTTCAAACCACTATTGATATTGAGCTTTCATTCCATTAAAATCTCTTGATCTTTTCTTTACAGAAAGGAATTGTTTCTAGCCACATTTTCCCTGACTTGCCCTTGGAAAGTTTATTTTCTGAACCCAAGAACAAGAATTCCCATGTTTACTAAATTTCATTTGATTAGATTCCAACTCACTGTTAATATTTTCAGACCTTTTTTGGATGCCATCTTTCTCATTCAACAAGTTCGTTATCTCTCCCAGCTTTGAGTTATCTTCAAATTTGATAAGAATGCTGTAATAATTATGAGTGATATTTATATGGTGCTTTAAAGTCTGCAGAATACTTTATCTAGATTATCTCATTTGAGCCTTACATATTATCCCCAATTTACAGATGAGGAAAAAGGCTAAGAGATTCAATGGCTTAAATAGTAAGTATTAGAATAGGAAGCTGAACCAAAGGTTCTGAATCCATGCCAAGGGTTGTTTACACTGCACCACACTGTCTACATCTTCATCCATGTCATTGATAAAAACAGTAAATGTACAGAGCCAAGAATGCATTCCCAAAGACATTTCTCTACAGACCTTTATCCAAGCTGGCATTAATGAAGGATGGAAAGGAAATGGAGATGAGAGGAGCATTAAAAGGAGTAAAAGTTGGAGTTGAGAGGGAAAAGGAAGATTTTGCTTTCAAATAATTAATCAATAAGCATTTATTAAGGACCTATGATGTTCTAGGCACCTTGTGAGGAGCTGGGATGTGAAACAGTGCCTGTTCCCAAGAACTTACAATCTAATGAGAGGAGACAACATATAGATACACAATAGATACAAGGAAAATTTGAGGAGAAGGCATTAGTAGGTGGGTGGGACCACAAAAGGCTTCATACAGAGGTGGATGGATCCTGAGCTGAGCTAGAGATTGTAATTGGTGGAGGTGAGGAGGGGAGTGTATTCCAGGCATGGAGAAGGAAAAGTGTCATGTTTGAGAAGCAGGAAAAAGGCCAGTTTGATTGGACTGTGGGGTGTTTGAAATAAATAATGTGTAATCATGTAGGTTGAGCCAGAATGTGAAAGGCTTTGTAAACGGAGGAGTTTATATAAACTGCATCAGACTGCTTGCTGTTTTGGGGAGGAAGGAGGGGAGGGAGGAGGAAAAATTTGGAACTCAAAACCTTATAAAAATGAATGTTGAAAACTAAAAAAAAAAAACCCAGAAAAAAACAGAGGGGTTTATATTTGATTCTGCAAGCAATATGGAGCTATGATAGCTTATCAAGTGATCATTTCTAACCCTATTTCTGACCTGTGCTTTCAGAAAATCACTTTAAAAACTGGAGGATATAAAGAGATCTTTTAAAAATGAAAAAGGACCTATTTGTACAAAAATATTTATAGCACCTCTTTTTCTGGTGGCAAAGAATTGGAAATTAGGGGTATGCTAATCAATTAGGCTGAACAAGTTGTGGTATATAATTATAATGGAACATTATTGTGCTATGAGAAATGATGAGTAGGATGGTTTCAGAAAACTCTGGAAAGACTTACATGAACTGATGCAAAGTGAAGTGAGCAGAACCAGGAGAGTATTGTACACAGTAACAGCAATATTGTACTATGATCAACTGTGAACTATTTTCAGCAATACAATGAACCAAGACAATTCCAAAGGACTCATGCTGAAAAATGCTATCTACCTTGAGAAAAAGAACTGATGGAGGCTGAATGCAGATTGAAGCATATTTCTTTTCATTTTAACCACTTATTAGATACAATTGTGCTGGGCTAGCAAAAAAGTAAATAAGACATGGTCTAACCCTCATGGAGTTTATAATCTCATTTGAAATATTAAACATGTATTTTCTTTTACAACCTAACATGTCAATATGTTTTGCATGATTACACATGTATAACCTATATAAAATTGTTTACTGTCTCAGAGAGGGGAGATGGAAGATAATTTAGACCTCAAAATTTTAAAAAATATTAAAATTGTTTTACATGTAATTGGGAAAAATAATAAGATATTAAAATGGGAGATAGTTCAGAAGTGGGGAGAGATTTGAGGAGAATACTGAGGAATAGGCCATAAGGTAATCAGTTACTATGGGGATGTTTATCTTGGAGAAGAGAAGGATTAGTTGACCAATAGTTATTTTCAATCAGGGCTGTCAGTTAGGATAAAGATTAGATCTATTCTGCTTGACCAGAGGACAGAATTAGAAGCAATGATGGATGTTGGTAGGGATAATAGATTCAGGCTTAATATAAGGAAATCCTTCCAAACATTTTGAGACATTCAAAAGTGGAGTAGGATCTCTTAGGGAATTGTGAGTCACTGGAGGTTAGATGATCATTTTTTGGGGATTACTTAGAGGAGGATCTGCAGATACCACCATTCCTGAAGGTCTTTCCAACCCAGAGATTCTGGGAACAGAAAAGAAAACGTGGGATGAGGGGACAATGTCATCAAGGACAGTGGCAACTTGGGGAAGTAATGCTTAGGAGAGAAAACCATTACATGGTTTCCCAGGGAAAAGCTAGATAGCTATTCCACAAGGCAGAGGGAGATCAGTCAGGCAATTCATTACACTGTGCTTAGTATTATGGGAGATCCCTCATCCAAAGTCAGAGAATCTTTGAGCTATAAGAGACCTCAGGGATAACCTAGTTCAATCTCCTTGTTTTACTGATGGGGAAGAGTCCATATCCCTGCTTTTAAGTATCTTATAATTGAATTAAAGAAAAAAACATTTGAACATGAAATATTAGAGAATGACAGTCAATATAAAAAAACAAAACAAAACACTTATCACCTACTGTGTGCAATACATTTTCCTAGGCACTAGGGGAGATAGAAAAATTTGTAAATACGATCCCTTCTTTCAAGGAATTTATAATCTAGTAGTTTTTGTTTTAAATTGTTAGATTTAGTAGTAGAGAGTGGATTCCTCAGTGAATGCACTGCAGAGGAATTGGGACAGCTGGGCTTTAAAAGATAGGTAGGATTTGGACAGGCAAAGAAAAATGGGAAGCAGCTTGGCTAATAGTAAGCAAAATAGGCAGCTACCTAGCTAAAGTGAAACTCATAGAAGGTACAAGGTCAATTTTCTAACATCGCTTAGTGTTAGTGCCAGAAAATCCTGGTCTTTATTGAAAGTAGGTGTTTATTTTGTGACAAAGAATGTTGTGTGTATTCCATTGAGTGAAGCCTCAAAGCTTTCAATGATTTGGAAGCACACAGAGAACACGATTTTAAAATGGGGTTGGGGTGGTGGAATTTAAAAACATTACTTAGGGATGTATTGTAAATGGCTTGCTTCCAGAGGGGAAGAGGGTCTTCTGAGTGAGGTAGCACAATTCTCTATCCCTGGTTCTATTATTGAGAAATTATTGAGGGTCTCTCCCAATGGCCAGACCCCAAAAGATCCAGACCCATGTTTCTATTTCGGGGGTTCTTAATTGGTTCTTAAGACTGGAGTCTTCAGATCTCCCAAAGGGTCTATGGATAGATTTCAGGGAGGTTGTGAACTTGGATGGGGAAAAATTACATCTTTATTTTCATTAATCTCTAACTAAATTTAGCATATCCTTCAATTACTTTAAAACAATATTCTGAGAAGGGGGCCATATGTTGCATTCACCAGGTTGACAGAGGTCCATGACACCAAAAAGGTTAAGAACTCCTGTTCTATTTATCCTGTCTCTCAGAAATAGGGCTTCAGTTCATGATCTTTAGATGAACAAAACTGAATGGGACTGAAGCAGGAGAATGGCTGTCTAGAATTATTTAGGAGGGAAAAAAACTGACCAATTCATGGCAAGGTTCTTTGAAGTGCTAATAAAAGAAATACACCTGGATCCAGAGGAAGTGTCCCTGAACTTCCTGAGCATTTCTGACTTCAGTTCCCTGGTCCATTACTAGATTCTGTAGGCTAAGAGCCTCCAGCTACCTCTTGACTACAAGGAAGACTAGAGACTTCCATCTCAGGAAATCCGCCAATCTGCTTTTCAGATTTGTCCCAATGGACATTCTGGATCCAATTCACTGCTCTACTTTTCTAATCCCATCCTACAGGATGGCCGGTACAAGAACAGTTTTCCAGCTCAGTGAGACCAGCAAAGCAGACTAGAATGACCTCCATTCCCAACCCATGCTGAGGCATGGAGGAGGATTATAATTTAAACTCATTACTATATAATTACTTAACTAACTAATTTTTCCCAACTGCATTCTAAGGAAACCAAATCTAACCTCTCTGTGGTTCCTTTCAGCTCTAAATCTACGGCCCTATGATCAATTGAAAGGAAATGAACATTTATTAAGTGACTACTATATTCCAGGCACTATACTTTTACAAATATTTGACCATTTGATCCTCACAACAACCCTGGGAGGTAGGTGTTATTATTATTCCCATTTTGCAGATGGGGAAACTGATAAAGGTTAAGTGACTTGCCCAGGGTCACACAGCTAGATCATAGGATCTATGTTTATCATAAATCATGTTTAAGCTCATACAATCACAGACTTAGGGCTGGAAGGGAATTAGCCATCAGCATCTCACCACTCCTTTGAACATAACTATCCTTCAGTATCCCCACCTCCTGAGCAAGGCCAAGGGGCCCTACTTACAGATGAGGAAGCTCATCAGTTAGGTCCGACAATTTGCCCAGGGTCGCACAGGTAAATTAGTAGCAGAGACTGAATTTGAAGCAAGGCCCCTTCCACCATCCTAGGCTGCCTCCCAGGGTCCTCAAAAGCCAGAATAACTCAAGACATACATATACACAAGTCATCCCTAGAGTTCTCAAAAGCCAACTGTATTCATTCCTTTTAAACCCTTACCAGGGCAATGGAGATGTGGAAATGCTTCCACTGAGCCCAGCCTAGCGGCATGGAAAGGTACTCCTCTTCCGCTCCCTCCTCTCCTCCCTTCCCCCTTTCTCCCACCTACACCCTGAGCTTGGGTCGCTCAGTCCTAGCCGTCCGCGGTCCTGGTAGATCCGGTGGAAATAAGCGGGACAGGCGCCAGCCCCCTCCCCCAGCCTCTTTCCTGCGGCCTTTACACCTGCGTCCAGAGCTCTGTGCTCACCCTTGTGCCAGGTCCCCAGCGCCTCTCCTCACTGCTGGGAACACCCTGCTGCCCCCATGCCCTGTACACACACTCAAGGAGTTTGGGTTAGGGGCTAGCGAAAGGGGACCGCGGGCTGGTGGCCGAGGAGAGGTGGCCTCGCTCCGGCCCGCAGATGGCCATCCAGCCGCGCCCCACGCTGACCAACTCGGGTTAAATTCGACACCCCAGGTTCAAAGGGCTAGTCCCTCAGGCCCCTGCCCTGCTCGGCTTTGATGTGCTGATGGGGCCTGGAAGGTGCTATTTCACACCTCCAGGCTCCGGATAAAGCGGGCTGTGAGCCCCACTGGCTCCTCAGACGCCCCCGGTCTCCGCCATGGCCCACTCTCCGGCTTCGCTCCTCAGCTCTGACTCCTGGCTCCTTCCGCAAGGCTGGGGCTGGGGGGCTGCGCCCCAGCTGCAGCCGCTGCCGTCGGAAGGAGACTGCAGCTGCTCTCCAGACTCCTCCTCGGACTCCTGGGGCCTCTCTCCCCCGGGACCCCAAACCCGCTTAGCTGGCCACACTTCCAAGGCGCCCAGCGCCAGGACAGGGACCGGCCGGCGAGCTGGCAGGGGCCGCCTGGGCAGCGGGCAGCGGCAGAGCGCCAGCGAGCGGGAGAAGTTGCGGATGCGCAACCTGTCCCGGGCGCTTCATGACCTGCGGCGCTACCTGCCACCGTCCGTGGTGCCCGCTGGCCAGAGCCTGACCAAGATTGAGACCCTTCGCCTGGCTATTCGCTACATTGGCCACCTGTCGGCCCTGCTGGGACTCAGCGAGGAGAACCTGAGGTACCGGAGGAGCGAGCCTGCACCCCGGGGCCGCCCGCTCTGCCCCAATGGACTGGGCTGCTGTTCCGAATGGACCCATGACCTCAGCCCGGCCTCCTCGGTCCCTGAGGCCGGTTCTCCCCAGCTCCCCGATGGGTGGGAGTCCCCATCTTCCTGCCCGGCGGTCCCACCCCAGCTCGACAGATGTGGGGAGCAGATCCTTGATACTGATACTCTGCTCCTAGAAGAGCAGGTGGCAAATCTGGACTCGTCCTCGGTGCGTATCTCTTTCCCGCCTTTTCCCCACTTCCTGGGTCCTTGGTAACTTCCAGCTAGTCGTCCTCCCATCCCCTTCCCTCCTTCTGCCCACAGTAGATATGGCTTGTGCTAGTCATTCGCTTCGAAGTTCCTCTGCTGACTCCCACAGTCCTGTCTGGGGGCTGAGGAACAGTCTGGCTCCGGTGGCGGACCACTTATCTAGTCCAGAATAGAAACTGAGCAAGGAGTAGGGACCAGCCAGGGGGAGGGGAAGAGAGGACAGGCTAGGATTGCTATCACAGGATAGTCAGACCTTGGCCAGGATGTAAAATTCAGGACTTCTGGAATCCTCTCTTTTTCACTTGAGTAAAGTTAGCTTCGTTCGTCTCATCACAGCTGGTCTCCCTTAACCCCGAAGTGTGTGTACTTTGACTTCACCAAAAGTGGACTGCAAGCAAGGGATGAGGGAAAGGGGGAAAGCAAACAGAAAAAAAGGATTCAGTGGTCAGAGGTTTCCTCAATGCGGTGTCCCTTTAGTGGTTTTTTCTACCACCCAAGGACTCCCTGACTATATTCCTATCTCCTGCACCCTCCTGCAGAGGGAGGCGCCGGTGACCCTGGGGAGGTGGCGCCCGAGGGTACTAAATTTCTGACCAAGATGCCCCCATCTCCTGTCCCCTACAGATCTTTCCCGGAGACATGTTATCCTTGCTGGAGACCTGGGTGCCTCTCCTACCACAGGAGTGACCAGGCTCTTGAAAGATGAGAGCTCGAGTGTGAAGTTCAGCCCCACAATTGACGACGCTCAGCCCTTCACTGCCTTCTACAGCCGGGCGAAAGCCGTTGACCCACCTCCTCCAGCCCAAGTCAGCGTTCTTCAGAGATCCAGAACCAGGGAGCTGGACTTTAGAGAATTGAGATCAAGGCTGGGGATGGAGCGGGAAGGCAGGAGCAAGATCCTGGTTAAAGACTCTAGGCTGCCTTTAATTTGAGCTGAGCTCACTTACATCTGGGTTTCAGTATGCAGCTAAGGACTTTGGCTCCAGTCCCCCAACCGTTGGGAAGCCAGGTGCTACTGTCCAGGTGTGATCTTGAAACACCGCCTGGGAAAACGACTATGGGCATTTCCCTAGGAGAAGGGGTTAGGAAGTGGAGGGATTAACTCCCTTAAGGGATGGAGAAGGAAGGATCGAGGAGATGTCTCCTCTGTATTTATTTATTTGTAAATAATAAATCAACTGCTTTTGAACATTGTAAATGGAAAATTCCTTCTGCCTCAGGTAAAGGCATAAATTCTTTAAGATCCTTTTTGCAGTCTCTCTGAGTCTTCTGCTGTGTGTGTGTGGACAACAATGACCCCTCTTTCCTAAGAGCTTTTCCTCTTTTGCACCCCCATATCAGAGAGAGAGAATATTTGTGGGGGTGTTACCCTCTCCAATCATCTACCATTCCTGGTCAAAGTTTAAAGGGCAGTTCTCAGTCTGGCCAGCTGAAGGAGCCTTGCACAAAGAGTAGGGAATTCAATTCAATTAAGAAAAATCAATACTCCCTACCCTCCAGGAGTTTACATACTACTGAATGTAATAATTTCATTTAATATATACAGTATTTCATTTAATATTGTATTTCTTCTTAATTAAAAAAAGTATATGTACCTTTCTACACACTAAGAACTTCTCTCCATCACTCTGGGATATATGATCATTAAACGTTTGTTGTTTAATGAATAAATGAATATCTTAATTAGAGAACAATGTGCATCTGAAGAAAACCAAAGGGGCTTGTCAGAAAATGGGTCCCAGAAATGCTTTCTTCCACCGAACCAACCTAAGGGCTTTGAAGCAGACAGGGGGAAGTCCTGGGCTTTGTATCCATGGAATATGGATACCATATTGGTCCAGCATATGGGATTGGGATTGGGATTCTTAGGACAGCTCCCTGAGGAAGCTCATGGTATAGCGGTGAGAGTGCTGGGCCTGGAGTCAGGAATACTGGAGTTCAAATCTACCTTCAGACACTTACTAGCTGAGTGATCCCTAAGCAAGTCACTTAACCTCTGTTTGCCTCAGTTTCCACAAAGGAGGGAGGTAGGAAAAAGGGGAGATAGTATGACTCATCAACCCATAGTTAATTTTGGACTTTGTTCTCATAGAGAACAATAAAATGTAAAACGGGGATAATAATAGCACTCATCTCACAAGATTTCGGTGAGGATCATATGAGATAATATTTGTAAAAAAAAAAAAGGGCGTAGTATAGTGATTGGCAAATAGTAGGCATTATATAAATCCTCATTCCCTTTCTCCCCCTCCTGAGGGCAGAAATAATTTCATTTTTTGTCTGTGTATCACCTGCTCTTGAAGACATTAGGACTTAATGTTTATTGTATTTAGTTGCTGAATGAAGTTTACAAAGGTCAAAGGCTCATAACTGAACACTAAGCTAACACCAAGGACTCAAAGAGATAGGACTGCCATTTCTACACAGATCTGGGTGACTTTCCCAAGATCAAACAACTTTTTGAGGACAGCTTAGATCAGCTTTAATATATTGTCCTCTTTTCATCATATTTCTTTTTTTAGTGGCTGCACTAATGCTTCTACTCAAGATTAAGGTCCATAGATTCCATATTCCCCACCCCTACCCCCAGTTAAAATTATTATTCTCTTTCATTGAGTCACATTCTACCTCCTATTTCTTCTGGCTTCTCCTACTTCTGTTTCTTCTCTATTCCTTCCTTCCTTCCCTCCTTCCCTCCTTCCTTCCTTCCCTCTTTCCTTCCTTTCTTCCTTCCTTCCCTCCTTCCTTCCTTCCCTCCTTCCTTCCTTCCCTCTTTCCCTCCTTCCTTTCCTCCTTTCTTCCTTCCTTCCCTCCCTCCTTCCTTCCCTCCCTCCCTCCCTCCTTCCTTCCTTCTCTCCTTCCTTCCTTCTTTCCCTCCTTCCCTCCCTCCTTCCTTCCTTCCTTCCCTCCTTTCTTCTTCCTTCCCTCCTTCCTTCCTTCCCTCCCTCCTTTCTTCTTCCTTCCCTCCTTCCTTCCTTCCCTCCTTCTTTCCTTTGCTCCTCCCTTCCTTCCTTCTCTCCTTTGTTGTGTTTTGTTGAGGGCACCATTATCCTTCTAGTACCTCAGGTTCACAACCTTGGAGTCATCAGTCATAGCCCTCCCACTCTTCCTCCCACACCTCACAGCCAATCAGTCGGTAAGTCTTGTTGATCTACCTCCTCAACATCTCTGGCATCTGTCCCCCTCTCTCCAATCTCACCCTGTTTCACACCATTATCATCTCCTAGATTATTGCAGTTGTCTCCTTAGGTCTCTCCCCTTTCCAATCTATTTCTTCACACAGCTGCCAAAATGATATTCTTTAATTAGAGATGTCATCATGTTACTCCCTTTGCTCAAAAAGCTCCAATGACCTCTAGGATCAAATGCAAATTCATCTTTTTCATATTTGAAGACCTTCACAGTCTGGCTGTCCCTTACCTTTTCAGACTTATTACACAGTAGCCCCCTTCATACACTCAATGATTCAGCCAAATAAGCTTGTCTGCTATTTGTCATACTTTTTCCATCTCTGTGCCTTTGCACAGTCTGTTGCCTCGTGTTAGGGCTCACTCTTAACTACTCTATTAACAGTCATCTACTGGCCCATAGGGGCCATCTCCAGTCGTCCTGATCTGTATCACTGGACCCAGATGGCTCTGGAGGAGAAAGCGAGGCTGGTGACCTTGTACAGCTCTCCTTCACTCAAATCAAAGTCAATTGCAAGTCACGTCATCAACTCCCTGATGCCATGGTCCTCTTCAAGAATGGAGGCCAAACACAGCAACAACAACAACTGGTCCATATCACAGACGCAAGATACTCTGTGTGAAGTACTGAATAAGAAACCTAGAATGAATGTTAACATTCTCACTATACCTACAGCATGTTTTCGAGTTTGGAGACTGGTTCATGAGACTTGAGTTAAATCAGAAATTCAGGTCATCAACATGAAACTTTGGCAAGTTCATTCTTTATACGAGCTCATGACCACCTGTTCAGGGGAATTTCTCAGAAGCCTAGCCAAGTCACTAAAGAGCAGACTCCTGTCTCTATGAGAACAAAGTCCAAAATCAACCACAGGTTGATGAGTCATACTATCTCCCCTTTTCCCTACCTCCCTCCTTTGCCCTAACAACGAATTACAATGCTCAAAAATCCCAAAGAACAGACCTGAAATCAGAGGTAACAGATAACACTTTGCTTCCCTACCAGTCACCCCCTGGAGCCTCCCCAGACCCAAGAAGCATCTCTAAATGCTTGCTAGAGATGGCACTTTTATATGAAAGGGGAGAGCTGAGAAGCCTCATCTAGACTGCAATTTAGATGTAGATTTAGAAGACTGAAATACCCCTTCTGTCTCCAGAAGGCTGTAAAAATATCCTTTAATAAACTTCATTTGGACATGTAAATCTTGTGGCTGACTTTTCTCCCTTTTCCCTCCCTAGTGTAGATGCTGATTTAATTTACCAACCAATCCATCAACATACATTTATTAAGTATGTACTATGTGCCAGGCACTAAGTTAGGCACTGGAAATGCAGAGATGAACACTCCTTGCCCTCAAGGGAAGGGGAGACAATATGTAATAATTAAATATACTATTACATATATACACACATGTATACATATATACATATACATACATATATGTGGGGGAGGCAGTTAGATAGCAAAATGGATAGAGTACCAGGCCGGGAGACAGGAAGCATCATCTTCCTGATTTCAAATCTGGCCTCAAATACTTACCAGCTTTGTGACCTCAGGCAGGTCACTTAACCCTGTTTGCCTCAGTTACTTCATCTGTCAAATGAGCTGGAGAAGGAAATGGCAAACCACTCCAGTATCTTTGCCAAGAAGACCCCAAATGGGGTCACAAAGAATTGGACATGATGAAACAACTGAACAACAACAACAAGAAGAAGTGTATGTGTGTGTGTGTGTGTGTGTGTGTGTGTGTGTGCATACATATACATATATATATACACACACACATATATATGCTATGTAAATCTAGGAAGAGGAGGAAGAGGATAAAAGAGGAGGAGGGAGGGCTAGCAATTAGAAAAAACTTCCTGTATCAGGTGATGCTTGAACAGTTTCGAAAGAAAAAGGATTCTAAGAGACAGAGGCAAGGTGCAAGTGCATTCCAGGAGGGGAGATGGGAGGTGGGCTAGTATTGTTTGTGAAAAGCAGCAAGAAGGCCAGGGAGGATGAACTGTGCAATGCAAGAATGAAAATAATATATAATAGAGTTGGAAAGTTAAGTCACCATCAAGCATTTTGCAACTCAGAGTCTTTCTAGTAGCCATTCATGCAAGATAGGGGTAAGGAAAGTAATGGCAGTCAGGCCAGGAGCTGAGCCCGCTGGGTGGTGGCTGAGACCTAGGCTCCTATCCAAGTAAACCAGGAGAGCTGGTTCTGAGCACTCAGTTGGCAACCAGAGTTTAAAAAGCAGAGCCTGAATCAGGTAAAGTTCAGAAATGTCAGTGGCTGGTGAAAAGGTCATTCTAAAAACATACATTCTGTGTATGTATCCCCTACTTTCCTGTGCTTATAGTCACAGACAGCTTCTCCCTTAATCCTTTTAAGTGACTTGCCCAGAGTCACACAACTAGTAGGTGTTATGGTGTTTTTGTGTCTGAGGTCAGACTTGAACTCAGGTCCTCCTGACTCCAGGGCTGGTACTCTAATCACTTCGTCACCTAGCTGCCCTTGACTAAATATTTTTAATTTTTTTTTTTTTTTTGTGTGTGTGTGTGTGTCATGGATAGTCTGGCAGTCTGGGGAAGCCTACCCTGGTGAACCTTTCTCAGAATGAAGTTTTTAAATGCATAAAATAAAATACATAGGATTATAATGGAAACCAATCACTTTAAAATATAGTCATCATAATTTTTCTTGTAAATAGTATTTTATTTTTTCCAATCATGTGTAAAGATAGTTTTCAATATTCATTTTTACAAGATTTTGAGTTCCAGATTTTTCTCCCTCCCTCCCTTCCCTTCCCCCTCCTCAAGATGGCAAGCAATCTGATGTAGGTTATACACGTGCAATCATATTTCCACATTAGTCATG